TTTAAAACAACATTTTCACAATTATTTCTTCTGCGGTAGCAACGCGCCGGGTAGCAGCTAGTAATATATAAAAATCCTGTATGAAAATATTTGTTAATGCTAATCTCCGAAACCGCTCAACTGATTTGTGTATATGTATTGCTTATTGAAACTTGAGACATAGGAAAATTTTTATCCCGATAAGTGAACTTTAATATTTTTTATTGTGAATTTAAGGATTTATTTTTATAGCACAAAGAACGTCGGCAGCGTGAAAACTTGGCTTACCAATTTCTTGATAATAGATGATCCCTTCGTCACCATAGGAGTTTTTATTGAACAAGATCCCCGGTCAAAACATCAGCACAATTGTCCTGTTTTATTTTTAAAAATTCTTTTTAATTCCCGACATTTCGAGTGTTTTTGTCGGTCATGGGAGACCGAGATGATTGACGTCCCGATGTCAGAGTTAATCCGGAGTACCTTCAGCTTTTTAATTATTCCTTTTGGTCCGAATTACGCACAATGAACTTACTGTGTCTTGAAATCTTGCAGTAATGTGCTTGGGTTTAGTTTTAATTTTATTAATTACAGGATCCTAAGCAGGTGGTAGTAACCAGCCCCCTTCTCTATTGAAATTAGGACGGTTTTTTTATAATATAGTAGTCTCACGTGTCATCCTTGGCAGGAATCAATGTTCTTTCGCGAAAATTTGTGGTCTATCAAATCTGATGTCATTGCGGTGGCCATCTAGGATATGATCACAAACTGCAGATTTCCCGGAGCGTTGCGGAGCGAGCGTGTTTAACGTCAGCTATGTTCTTTTACGCGGGGGAGATCTTTTTGTTTGCCCTATATATGAGAGACCACACGAAGGCACCCGAAATGTCGGGAATTAAAAATATGTATAACTAGCTGTTCCCCGCGACTTCGTTCGCGTGTTAGGGTTTTTATGTTTCTGCGCGGAACCCTGATTCTTTTTCTAAAATAAAAGTAGCCTAAGTTACTCCTTATGAAATCAGCTATCTGCCAGTGAAAGTCCCGTCAAAATCGGTCCAGCCGTTTCGGATATTACCCGGAACAAACAGACAGACAGACAGACAGACAGACAGACAGACAAAAATTTTAAAAATTGTATTTTAGTTATAGGTATCGTATTTACTTTCATATGCATTTAGTAAAAAACTGTAATTTTGACATTACAAACAGACACTTCAATTTTATTTATTTGTATAGATTACACGCGATAAAATCTGTAAAATATATATAATACATACATATTATTTTTACATTAAGTATGAAAAAGTGTAACAAATTAATTAAGGATATACATATAAGAATAAAACAATAGAATTATATAATGCATGCTACCATGTAAATACTGGTAATATTATTTTGTATGTATACTTAATCTCTATAAAAGTGAACAATGTGTTCTTTAAGAGAAATAAATGTCTTTAGCCCGAAAAGTAATTTTACTTAATGTGTAGTGTTCGCGTAAATGTAAGAAATCTTTATAAATCCTCTCTATTCCTATCCCGAAGAAATTTCGAAAATCCTACCTTATTCCTTATTCCTTGTCTACGGTACGTTATAAAGGAAATCTTTGTGCAAAATTTCAGCTTTCTAGGTCCAAGGGTGTGCCCAGTGAGTGAGTGAGTGAATGACTCGGGATTTGTCTTTTTTTTTAAATTAGTACAGTCGTTATTGTAATTGGCTATCTATACGGCTGTCCATAATGATAACTTGTTAAGTTAATATAAAGCTATATTTTTCGCATTACCCGCGGCTCTCAGTTTTGTTTTCGGTAAACACAGACATTTTTTTCTCGGTAACATTACCGTTTACTGATTACATAGCACTATCACGCCATTCACTTACATCTTACTTAAGATAATGTCACTCGTTGACGGAGAAAATTGCCGCAATTATGTTTTTTCAACGTTGTCCCTGTAAACTAAAACAGAACAGACATGCACTCGTGTAAGGCACGGAAATCCATATAATATTTTAAATTTTATTTTTAACTAGCTCTTCCCCGCAACTTCGCCCGCGGACAATTTATTACAATTGGATTTTATGGGTTTAAATTTTTTGCGCCGAACCCTAATTACTTTTCTAAAATAGAAGTAGCCTAAGTTGCTCTTTATAACATCAGCTAACTAAAGTCTCGTCAAATAGGTTTGGCTGTTTCGTAGATTAGCCGGAACAGACATACAAAAAATTAAAAAATTGTGCTTTTGTTATAAGTACCGTATATACTCTCATATGCATTTAGTAAAAAGCTGTTATTTTGACATTAAAAACAGACACTTCAATTTTATTTATTCGAGTGTAATCGTTATAATTTATTGCAGACCAAGAGCGGAATAAAAATACGGACGCTTTGTTGTGGGATTTTATTGTATTGTACTAATCTCTATTCGCGTGCGTGTGTCGTATGACAAATATGATTGCAGAACTGAGGGTGCTTCACACATTTTCACTTTTCAGTATAACATTACTCCGTATTTTCTTTTTATGTCCGTGTTGCAGATGTTCTTATTTTATAAACAAATATATGAAGGCTGAACACGACCGAAGCAAACTTATTTTTACGTATAAGTCCACCTATTAAACTAAGGAGTTAATGTAAATATGGTTTAATTAGCTAATGTGAACAGTGCTAGACGTATAATTTATGGTACTGTGATTGCCAAGTTTGGAGATGACGGGTAAACCTTCGCTACATTGGGGAACGTATGAAGGAGGGCTAATGAAGTGTTATGAAATAAAATATATTATATTTGTTGTATTAGACGTTACTTACTACAAATGTCAGTCTGAGGCAAATGTTCAGCATTAGGTTGTTACAGGCTGAAAAATAAAAGTTTTATTTTGGTTGTAATACTTTACAATTATAGTTTTGCCTTCTTTTCTGTAATAATTTAGCTCAGTTATAAAAAATGTATAGTTAGCACAGACACAGATTTTTAGCTCGTTATTTACTCCCATATTAATTCGAGTTTATGAAAACATAGAGAACTTTGTCCTGCTCGTTTGCCCCCTCTCCTATAAAAAAAAAACATTCAAGAAAAGAGCCTACTCTTTTGTGAAAGTCCTGCAACGCACCTACAATTTTACTGGTGTTGAAGTTGTTCATGGGCGGCTGTAGTCACCTTACAACCTGATCAGCCGCATGCTCGTTTGTCCCCACTTAAATGAATATAAATAAATAAATAAAATCTAAAAACAATTATTTATCATCATCGTCATCATTACAGCCCTTCACAAGTCCACTGCTGAACATAAGTCTCCCCAAGGAATGCCACAAAGCACGATCCTAAGCCACCTGCATCAATCGACTTCCTGCATGTCATACCAGTACCAGGTCGTCACTCTATCTAGTGGAGGGCCACCTTACACTTCGCTTACCGGTACGAGGCTGCCACTGGATAACCTTTCTTCCCCATCGGTTGTCGGTTCTTCGAGCTATATGGCCGGCGCATTGCCACTTCAGCTTACTAATCCGTTGGGCTAAGTCGGTTACTCTGGTTTTAAACATCTATCTATAGATAGATATAATCAGCTATGTATGTATATGCAAAGGCAGTGTCGTAAGTATCTCGGTCAAGCAGCGTACGTTCTACCGTAATACCGCGTGTTAATTATCTCTTACGATACAGACAAGATGGGGATAGCCGAATTGGAGGTGCGCCAACAGTTACCACGGAAGTACACATTAATTTGGAGCACGTACGAGCTTAAAAACTTGGAATTGCCTGATTTCACACAGTGCTATCTAGGGGTCGTTAAACTAGCCAAAGAGTAATACGTACTTACTGTTTTAACACGTTTTTATTAACTGTTCGGTACAAGTTTGCTTTATTATTAAATAATTATTAACTTACTTTCTTGTCTGTCTGTTTGTTTCTTTATCTGTTCAGTAAAAAAATTGCAACTTTTTTAAATAACTTCCCGATGAAGTAGCTACTTTTCAAACTTTACACATAGCTCAAAGATGGTCGACAGACTAGAAAGCAGAAAATAATTATATACATATAAAAATTACCACGCCATGTTACAGACTTACAGGTAAGACCAAAATATATAAAATAATTTTCCCTATCTCTATATCGATTTTAAACCCAAAACAAATAAAAATCTTTGGGGGGAGGCCAATGTTCAGCTGTGAACTTGTGAAGGGCTGTAATGATGATGATGATGATGACAAATAAAATGAAAAATCTGGAGCGTATCCTCTAGATAGTAAGTAAGAAGTGCAGAGAGTAGCCCTTACTTATTATTTGTGAAAACTTACACATTTTATATTATTTGCAGTGCAAAAAAAATTGTAGTTTTTCATGAGGTGAACTATGTACGTATCACTTACAAGTATCTTTCGCATACGCTACGCGTTTTTATTTTTATCTGTTTATGAGGTTATAAATCTCTATGAGCCTAGAGAAAGTTATTTTATACTCGTACTTTTTAGTTCGTTTAAAAACGTGGTGTTTTTATTACAATAGAGGGGTCTCGTAACATGTATTGGAATTTTTAGCGTTCCGAGGAATTATTCAGATTAATTCCAGCCGCCAATTTATGTCAATCAAAAAAATAAAATTCATCAGTTATTTAACCGGACCGGTACGACTTAGAAACGGAAGAAAAGAGCCTACTACTTTTTAAGAGACCACTAATGTACTTGATATTTCAGAAATAGATATAGAATTTTTTTTATTCAATATAAATTATACTTATTGAAAGTTATTCCTATCTTTAATTCAACACTGGTTCGGAAAATATCTCTGCTATGTGAAGAATCAGCATGAGACCCAACGGGACTTTTTTTCTTCTCGAGTGACCGTCGCCAAATGAAATCATATGCAAACCAACTTACCATGCAGCATGCTCATTAGCTCCTTTCCAAAAAAACATAACCAACTCGTTTATATTTGGTGCACAAATACTGACTATTGGGGTTTCTTTTTTTAAATATAAATAAATAGAATATATTATTATAATTGATTTCTTGTCCTCAGGCCCAGAGTACGGTACAATGGAGGCAGCGTGGAAGGGCGGTATGGTGGAAGCCGAGCGCCTGTCCGACCTGCACCTGAGCGTGCGGGACCGCCTCGTCAATGACGTCATTGCACAGATTAAGAACTGGCAGAAGGATACCTATCATAAGGTAAGTTGTAGTCGCAAGGAATGCTGTTCTGTAATAATTACGCTGCACTTGGTGCAATTAGGCAGGTGTGGCGTCGTGCGCGACCGCGGCATTATACAGGGTTATTTTGCAAATTCGCAATAACCGGCCAAATTTGCAATGATGGTTCAGGAAGAATAATTTAGGCGATTGGTGACGAAAAATTAATTAAAAAATCTCAAAGATTCTGTCCTTTATATCTTGTAAGTTCAAAATGCGTGGTAATGCATTATATTAACTGATTTTACTGCGCACGCACACATTAGTAAGGGTCGATCGGTAGGCAAAAACTTTGTTGTCCATAAATCAAATACGAGTAAAACAGGTAGAGGCCTTATTTACTCGTATTTTCAAAAACTGCAATAACGGTATATCATTATTTATATATTTTAACATAAGTTTAAAATTTGAAAAAAAAAAAGAATGAACGAGGAAAGAGTGACAAAGCAAATTTATGTTTCAGAAGTGAACGGCAGGGTCGGGAAGGGACGCCCTAGACGAAGGTTTATCGACCAAATCGGCGATACATTAAAAATGGGCCATATTAGGAGTACCCTTAACCGACGAGCGTATATGCGTAGATATATGGATGTAAAAGAGGCGAGAGAGGTGTGTCAGGATCGCGCCAAATGGAAGTCCGTAGTCTCTGCCTACCCCTCTGGGTGACAGGCGTGAGTGTTTATGTATGTATGTATTTAAAATTTGGCTACTCTTTGAAATATAACCCTTTATAGAAAACATTGTGAGGAAACCATATAAATAAGGGGAGGCCAGATTTAAAAGATCAGAAAGATTTTGTAGGTGATCCATTCCATTCCACAAGAATATGGCAATATAAGTGGTGGTAACGTAAGAAATTTTATTACTGTTCCTAAGCTAAAGATTGCATCAAAGTATTGACAGAGTGAAAGAGAAGACCGAGCAAGGAACTTGCTTGCATAGTAAAACAGCGTAAAATCATAATCATCATCATCATTATCATCATTGCAGCTCATCACGAGTACATTACTGACATTGGTCTCTCCCAAAGAACGTCACAATGCACGGTCTTGAGCCATTTATATACGGCGGCATATCTGCCAGCACTGCAGCATTGGGACAAAAAAAATTTCCCCCCGATTATGTCCACTGACGAGAGACAAAATTATTTTGTCCTTATGCCATAGCACGGCAACGGGGAGAAGTATATCCCCGTTTGACATAACGAGTAGACATATATCCCCCGTCCGTAGCATGGAGCCAAATGAAATATAAAAATTTGTGCTGTTTGACATTTGAAAGGGACAATTTTATCCTAGTTCATTGGACGTGGGTTTTAGTTTATATTCATATAAAAATCTGTCAAGTCCAAGTCTATCTCCCATTTTATCTACTGTGGATATTATATCCACCGGTATGCCTATGCTCGAATGGTGGATAAAACTAAGTGAGGTTATAAACATTTTCTCCTTTCCCCGGGGATAAATTGTCTGCTGCCCATGCTAGCCCTGCTGGTCGTTACTCTATCTAGTAGAGAGCACTCTTACACTTCGCTTACTGGTATGAGACTGCCTGCACTCGAGAACCTTTCTTCTTCAGCGTAAAATAGTACAGCTGCCATATTTCGTAAAATCGTAGGCCCTTTTTACTGTTAACGTATCTGCTGATACTTAGTGCTGATAATTTTTAATCAAATATTTTTATAAGTCGTCTATTGGCCACAATATTCAATTACCATCAGATTGATTGTGTGCTCGCTTATCACCATTAATTATATATAAATATATTATTTACAAATCTTTAATACAAACATCTATTTGTTATAAATGTCTAATTAGTACTAGTAGTATTACGGACTAGTTCTATTAGTATTACGGATTTCTGTCCCCCCAAATCTAGTTCTTCGATTTTGTGAATTATCAATCATTAGTCATTACGTATTACCATGTAACGTGTTTGTGCCATGAAAAATCTTGGAACAAAAATCAAACGGACTACATTTTCCATGTCGTCGAAATTAAGGAAATTCTCATATTAACCGAACAATAAGGCGTACTCGATTGAATTGAGAATTGAGGGAGTATGATCATAAATTAAAGCCGTCGATGCTTTAAATGAATATACAAATCCCATGAATACGCTATTGCTCGATGAATACTGACTCTAATCCGTTTTCGGCGATATTCGTCAATAATCAAATCGTACACATTGCATAGTAAACACAACAATAACAAATCGGCACAACACATAAATCAAGGCACGTGTGAGTGGCGTTACGTTACTGCCATTTGATATCTAGATTTCACAGAGTAGTTGTTTGCAGAGTAGTTTACAGCAGGAATATAATACGGGCAGGGCAGTACGTTTAATTACTGTACTAAAAATCGTAGTTTTTCTATTATTATACAATAAAGGCAATTATAAAAACCGTTTTAATCTGTATGATCTTTATACATATTTTAAACTACCTGTACCTCAAAAAGTTTATCAAAAAGTATATTTTAAAACCCCGCGCCTATACGAATGCAACGTTGCTTAGAGTAATAATTGTACCAAAATTTCAAAGCAATCGGTCAAAACATTTTGGATATTTAAGATTTTGAACAATCTAACTTTACTTTTTTCGTTATAGCAATACTATAATTATTGAATAATAAATACATATTGTTGAATAACTTCTTAAAGATAGTAAGTGTAACAGTTTCTAAGTCTAACGCACATCGCGGCAGAACTCCCGATACCATCCACACCATCTGGATGATTGGCGGTCGTCCACTGTGCGATTTAGAAGATGTTTTCTTCCTCGCACAACTTCCTTGTGGAATCGATTACCATTAGCGATTTTTCTGGACCGATACGACTTAGGGACCTTCAAGAAAAGAGCCTACTCCTTTTTAAAAGGCCGGCAACGCTTCTGCAATTCCCCTGGTTCACCTGGTGTTGCAGTTGTTACTGGGCGGCGGTAATCACTTACCATCATGTGAGCCGCATGCTCGTTTGCAGGGGGCAAATAAAAAAAAAGTTAGTTGTATTGAAGCTTTCGTATTTTTCTTTAATTTTGTTTTTTGGATTTACTTCAGTTTTGTCAAATTCCATCCACATCATCTCAGCTCACCTGATGATGAGTGATTATATACACACATACACACAGCTGTAACACCAGAAGAGTAACAGGGGTGTGTCCGGCCTTTGAGAAAGAAGTTGGTGCAGAGAAATCGCTGGTTATAGTAAATTTCACAATTTTATAAGAATTCCACAAGACTATATAGTTTTACATGTACGCGTACAGAGTACTCAAAATATCACTACTACATTCTATCAGATATTACGACATCTTCCTGGCTTTCCCATAACCATCATTTACAACATCAATTCAACGAGACTGGGTATACCAATTGTTTATGCCCAAAATTGTTTATTTTGAACGCCGTCAAATCGCGTTCGAGCTGGCGCGTCACCCGATGGTATGTAGGTGAAAAAAACGCCGCCAGGTGGGGCGACCGTGTGCGGCTTGTGTGGTTCGACGCGTGGGCGAAGAAGATGAGTAGCTCGTTGGCCGCGATGCGGGGAATCCGCGTATATCGGTTATCGCGGCAGAAGTTCACGCGACCGGTAGGGTCTAGATGGTTAGATTTAGTACGTCATTATTATCTAGTCTAAAACGTTCTCTGCGAACATCCCTAGGAGATGAAGTTTTTTTTAATAATACGTTAAAACTCTGCAACATCATTACCTATGTTCTGGCACCCGGCCATTTTCCAGTGACGTTTGTCGATATATCTGCGAAGGCCGAGATTACTTGATAATTGTATTTAGTTGTTATCAAGTTTTAATGTGTTACTTACTTTAATTAAAAGGAATGTCTATTTATTGTTGCACTTTCACCATATTACCATTGCCATATGTTTGTTAAAGTCCGCTGTTGAACCAAGGCCCATATAAATGGCCCCATAGCTTGCATCATTGCCTCGGTATATTTGTCATAGTTCCTCTGATTGGCAAGCGGGTTAGTAACCGCAGTTTTTGGAACGAAGTTCCTTATCAGACGCTACGAATTTGGCGGACGGGGGCTAGGCGACAAAAAGTAAGGTTTTTCCGTCACGACCCCTTCTGACGTTGTGTAGGTGGCCTAGGAAGTGAGATTGGATAATATACATCTCCCTCGCACTTTTTCTTGTTTTGCCATGAAAGAAAATTTATTTGAATTTGTTAATCAGTTAATATAGTACGTTTATCAATAATAATATACTACGAAAAGAACTTCGTTTCAACCGAGTGTTCCACGACACTCACGTATGTTTTTTTTACTCAGCTGTTATCAGGTAGATATTGCTGCTATCTCCTGGTTCAGCTTCCCTATGTCGCCTCTTACGACACTGGCGGGATGATATGAGGTAGTGGTTATTCTTACACCGCTAATTCACGGCTACATTGCAAATCAAAGTCATATTTTAGCTGTAATATACATATTCTAATCTCTGCATCTTCTGCCACAGCCGTAAACAGTCTAAAATATATATTTAAAGTCTAGCATAATCGAGATGAGTGTAATGGATTTTTCATCCATTTAAGCCACCGATTTAAAACTTTTTTGTTTTAAATTGGTGGGGTGGGGTGGGTGCATGATCGATAAGTCGGGGTACTCTAAAGCTAAAAGATATTACGAAAACAAGGTTTAAGTTACACGATTAAAAACGACGCAGTGAAAGTTATTTCATTCCAAAACTTTATAAACGGGAAAATCAGTTTCTCTCCTTTTTATCAGCTTCTAAAGCCCATTTTAGAATTGGCTTCTCCCATTGTAGAAAGAGTTAGCTTTCGTCACATTGATCACGCGACGCATTGACTCGCTTTACCAGAAGTTTCACACCTTAATGATGCTGATATATTACTTCTGGCGTAACCGAGATAGTACATCGCCATCTATGGAAAGCTATAATTTTTCTGGCCTTTTCCATAGTCGCCACATACGGCTCCTACGGGACAAAATGGGATGACGGATT